GACTGATGAAGGCATATACCATTAGCTCCTACATGAATAACTATCTTTGAAAACCTACGCTTGCCAAAGGCCCTAAGATTACCTGCTATGTCCGGCACCCTGGCTCCCAGTATACACCTAACTAGTGCTGCTGGTGCCCCTAAAGGCCTAACTAATTTCAAGTGGTTTAAGATAGAGTCTCCTATAACCAGAGCTCTTTCAAGTTTCTCAGCAGGTGCTTCACTAAGGAGAGCAATCCTGCTGGACACATGAAGCGGAGTGGAGTGGTGCTCCCATGTGTGAGCCTTAGTGTTAGCTTTGGCTTTGCGATTATGCCGCCAGGTCATCACCCATTTGCCCCGCTGTGAGGGCTCTAATGCCGGAGTTGGGGAATTGCTCTCTCCGCCTAAGGCATCCAGACTTTCCCCTACAGAAACTACGCTGCTCTCACTTTCACTAACCGTCTCTAGAATCTGGATGTGCACCTCTAATGCTGCTATCTTCTCCGTCAGAGAGCTAACTAATCTACACTTAGCACAAATAAAGCTAGTACTAACGACGGAGGAAGAATGGCTAAACATCCTGCACTCAACACACTGGACAAACTGAATGTTTGCCATGTTGAGTGTTTAACGTACCCTAGTCAAAGATTTGTTGAGATTATGTTAGACGGATCCAGCGTGGATGGTCTCCGCTTGCTGTCTTTAGACAAAAAACAAAAGCGTTCTTTGAAAAAATAAAAATAGATGAAAATGTGCAAAATTATTGATGAAACAGAAAAAAAAAGTATAATTTAAACGCCGAGACAGGCAAGAAACTCCCGGCAGACGATTCGAAAACAGTCATCTGGCCACAAAAGCATTTAAGGCTTATTATCCCAATTCTTTTATCTGAATTGATCCCTAATAAGAAGGCAGGTTTCAGAGACGCCCATTTCAAGTCAGCATCATGCATAGGCTCATAAGGAAGATCCATAAGGAACATTAAACACAAGAGGTAGGTCCCATGCCAAGGGGGCTGGTGGTGCCTCATAATGAGCCTATGGAACCCTAAAAAATCCTATCCATAGTTCTGAGTGTGCACTGTGGTGGCTGCCCTATATACTGTTGTTTATCTGTCCCTGATAGAAAGTCTGGCTCCTAGGAGCCTAGGCAATGCACTGAGTCCAGCTGATGATTTGAACACCATTCACAGAATAACTTCCACTTAATGGCATACAAGGCCCCAGTACTAGGGGCTCTTGCATTTTGGAGTGTGTGGCAGTGGAGTGTGGTCCGGTGCCAGATGTGAAGGGAGGTAGGAGACACAAAGAACAAGTGAGTGTCTACACCTGTGTACAATTTATGCAATCCAATTATGTGCATTTCCTAATGCGTTCCACATGCTTCACTGACCTTGACCAATGACACTGGAAACTCTGTGTGTTATTTAAGTTGGATCAGTGCTTTACATTTGCAAGAAAAGTGCTAAAAAACACTACATAAAAATAAATAAAACAATTTGTGTCACTTTCTCAGATGCCTGCCTCCCAAGTCCCCTCCCCACATGCCAGTTGTGCTACAGTGGTGCCAACACCCATGATCAAGGACTGATATGCCATGATGGAGAAGTATCTAGCTAGTCTCCAGCAAGTGCGGCACCAGGCTCTCCTTGACCTGTGGGCCAAACATCACCAGCACTTGAAGGCACTGTAGCAAGCACAGACTGAGGTCCATCAGGAGCTCTAGAGCTTGGTCCTGCAAACCTACATGAGTTCTCCCCATTTGAATTATTGTACGGATGAAAGCACTGGGGTAACTTAATTGTTATCAGTGATCAAGAGCACTGGGACATTTAAAACAGGAGCATTTGATACAGGCCCAGGAATGGCAATACTAGCTGTATAAGTGAAAGTGAAGTTTGGCCAAGTATGGTGACCCATACTCAGAATTTGTGCTCTGCATTTAACCCAACCAAGTGCACACACACACCCGGAGCAGTGGGCAACCTTTTTTGCTGTGCCCGGGGAGCAGTTGGAGGTTCGGTGCCTTGCTCAAGGGTCTCACCTCAGTCATGGTATTGAGGGTGGAAGAGGGCGTGGGTCATTCACTCCCCCCACCTACAATCCCTGCCGGACCTGAGACTCGAACCCACAACCTTACAAGTCCAACTCTCTAACCATTAGGCCACGACTGCCCCAATGTATAATGGAGCACTCAGCAATGGGAGCTTATTCTGGGAGAGCAAGTACTCATTTTGCTGTTTGGATCAGGCTTTAAATTACTCTTTGATATTACACAGTGGGTTGGGATCTGAACTATGATCTGACAATCTGATAGAGGCTATACATGGCAAATATAACACTTCTATAACACTTCATTAAACCACTACCCTGGTCCCCAGTAGAGACCACCTCTACCCATCCCAGAGAGTAAAGATGGCACGCTTGCAACAAAAGGTTTCCAACATGTTTTTGCCTGTGTCTGGTCATAATAACCTCATAGAACTTTACTCCTCCATGAACTTAACTAAGGGATATTGGCAGATACCCTTGACTCCATTGTTCTGCAAAAAAATGACCTCTTCCACTACATTTAGAAAATGTGTCACTAATCTTTTGGTTTGTTTGGAGCCTCAGCCATGTTTAAAAGACAGCATTCTCCACCCTCACAGGACATATGCTATTGCCTGTGTAGGGGATGTCTAAGACAGTGCATCTTTGAAATGGTTGATTCTGGTTTGTGTGCTGCTTGTAATTTAAGTAATATTAATACAAGAAACTGAAACCTCCATTAATACATAGACACTTTCACGCAGTAGTATGTTGTATTGTGAGATTAAAATATGTATCATAGACCTCTGCCTTCCAGTGATATTGTTTGTAAGTGGGTATTTATTTGTGAGAAATAGTTTTCAAATGTACAACTAGTGATAACAGCCATAATGTATTGAATGCTGAATTAAATAAAATAAATAAATATGCCTATGATATACAGTTGAGCTCAAAAGTTTACATACCCCTTTCAGAATCTGCAAAATGTTAATTATTTTACCAAAATAAAAGGGATCATACAAAATGCATGTTATTGTTTAATTAGTGCTGACCTGAATAAGATATTTCACATAAAAGATGTTCACATATAGTCCACAAGAGAAAATAATAGTTGAATTTATAAAAATGACCCCGTTCAAAAGTTTACATACCCTTGATTCTTAATACTGTGTTGTTACCTGAATGATCCACAGCTGTGTTTTTTTGTTTACTGATAGTTGTTCAAGAGTCCCTTGTTTGT